CAGCCCAGCTCAGCCCAGCCCAGCCCAGCCCAGCTCAGCTCAGCCCAGCCCAGCCCAGCTCAGCTCAGCTCAGCCCATTTGAGCCCACTTGAGCCCAGCTCAGCTCAGCTCAGCCCATTTCAGCCCAGCTCAGCCCAGCCCAACTCAGCTCAGCTCAGCCCGGCTCAGCCCAGCCCAGCTCAGCCCAGTTCAGTCCATTTCAGCTCAGCTCAGCTCAGCTCAGTCCAGCTCAGCTCAGCCCAGCTCAGCCCAGTTCAGCCCAGCCCAGCCCAGCCCAGCTCAGTCCAGCTCAGTCTAGCTCAGCCCAGCTCAGCTCAGCTCAGCCCAGCCCAGCTCAGCTCAGCCCAGCTCAGTCCAGCTCAGTCTAGTTCAGCCCAGCTAAGCCCAGCTAAGCCTGGCTCAGCCCAGCTCTGCTCAGCTCAATCCAGCTCAGTCCAGCTTAGCCCAGCTCAGTCCAGCTCAGCCCAGCCCAGCCCAGGTAGTCCACCTCAGCTCAGCCCAGTTGAGCCCAGGTGATCCCAGCCCATCCCAACTCAGCTCAGATCAGCCCAGTTCAGTCCACTCAGCCCAGCTCAGCTCAACCCAGCTCAGTCCAGCTTAGCCCAGCCCAGCTCAGCTTAGCTCAGATCAGCTCAGCCCAGCCCAGTTCAGCCCAGCCCAGCTCATCCCAGTTGAGCCCAGCTCAGCCCAGCTCAGTCCAGCTCAGCCCAACTCAGCCCAGCTCAGCCCAGTTGAGCCCAGCTCAGCTCAGCTCAGCCCAGCTCAGTCCAGCTCAGCACAACTCAGCCCAGTTCAGTCCAGCTCAGCTCAGCACAGCTCAGTCCAGCTTATCCCAGTTTAGCTCAGCCTAGCCCAGCTCAGCTCAGCCCAGCTCAGTCCAGCTCAGCTCAGATCAGCTCAGCCTAGTTCAGCCCAGCTCAGCTCATCCCAGTTGAGCCCAGCTCAGTCCAGCTCAGCCCAGCTCAGCCCAGCTCAGCCCAGCTCAGGTCAGTTCAGCTCAGCCCAGCTCGGCCCAGCTCAGCTCAGCCCAGCTTAGTCCAGCTCAGCTCAAA